TTTATATTGTTTCTAGAAACTTAATTAGAGGTGAAAATGACAATAACTAAATTATTTAATTATTATAATTTAATTTTTTTATTACAATATAATTTATGCCGGGGGGTGGTTGAGGAAAATGAATTAAAATTGAGAGGAAAGGCAGCGCTGCGAAATGGTTTAGAATCCCTACCCTAGAATATTTACTAAGGTTACCCCCCACCCCCGTTCAACCATTTTTAGTTCCATCCCACTTCACTTTGTATCCCTAATTCTATGATTTGCTTCTCTCCACATTTAGACAAAATTCTCTCGACTGTTAATGTCACTACAACCGATTCTCATTCTATGTGGCTTCCTTTAACTTGTTCAGAAGCCATTTTTTTGGCCCTCGGATACCTGTACTGATTCTCTCAGGGATTGTAGTTTAAAAATACAATAATTAAAAGAATAAAGTTAAAAATTTCTGCAATTTAGTGTTATTAAGTGAAATTTTTTGCCAATAATGTTCAGATTGAAATGTGGCGTTACATTGCCTAAACACTCCCCCTCCCCCTTGTCACACATTGCCATAAAAATTTAACAGCCCCTGAATGCGTGATGTCATTTATGTATGTCCCTGAATACTAATATACTATTATTATACAGATTATAATATAGTCCTAGTCTATAATAACTATAAAGTAGATTATTGGATACTAGAATATATGACCCGAAAACTCATCACAAATCCTTATTTTAAAAAGATGTATCTATGTAATGTAGTGATGTTTACATTTCAGACATCATTAAGTTTGGAGAATTATTTTTTCTGCTATATATTATTCGCCTACCCTACATGGTATTTAAATTAATTGTTTCTTTAGTGTTATATGGATACACTAGCTCATTGTTATATATATAATTAATAATAGGCTTAATATTACTATACTTTACTGATACTTATGCATTAAGTTAAAGTTATATTAGTTAAATAAATAGGCATAGGAGATGATATTATAATAGCCTAATATAAATTTTATTATAATTGATAAGTATAATTCAATGGACTGGTAATATATATATTATGTGTCAGTGTCGATTAAACTTTAAATTTTAACTACACCCCAAATTCTTTTTTTTTTTTATAGATTGTATGTTATTCAAATCATTGGCTTATTAAATTAACCTTATAAATAGGCCAATACCCTTTGGATAAAGTAGGCTAAATTTAAAAAAAATATGTTAAGCTCTTTTAAATTGCAACACAGCCAGAGGCTGAACCATTTACTATGATTTGCATCAGACAGGGATCAATCAGGGTCTCAAAACTGCTGATCTGGAACTGGAGTGCCCAGTCTATAAGAGTCTGATACTGTTAGGGACAGCGCCTCAGTCACCCAATAAGTATAAGTTTACAATAGGCCCATTTACAGCAACCTTTCTTATATTCATTGGGTCTTCACATTTAGGTCAATACACTTAACAGAATAGTATTAATAATCACATTGCAAAAAAAAATTTTTTTAAAGTTAATCTGGACATTTAGGCTAAATGTTAATAATTGTTGATAATCATTTACATTGATTTATGAAGATCATTTTATACATCCTTACCTAGGGTATTGACAGCAAATAGTATTTGAGTCATTCGTACATGTAGATAAGAACAAAATGGCACTAAAAGAAATTATAGAAACCAAGCATCTAGCTTGCTGCTCACTTGATGACCTGCAGTTTCAAAAAGCTGCAACAAAGTTGAGAACTATTGAGAATCCATCTGCAAAGATCATTCATAACTTAGGATGTATCCTAATGTTGCAGAAATTATTCACTGATGCAGCACAGGTGATTTGTGAATTCAATTAGTGTAACTCATAACTTGATTGCCGGTCCAAAGAAAGATACAAACATAGATTTTCTTCTAAAAACAGCTATTTGGTTTAAATAATAGTATGTATTTTGTGTATCAAAATGTTCATTATAAATTATATGAGTTTTGCTACATGTATCTAAATACCAAAGTTGATGTTTTTTTATTATTAATCTTAAGGGATATTAAAAATTGTACAT